GGAGGAGGAGGAGGAGGAGGAGGAGGAGGAGGAGGAGGAGGAGGAAAAAAGAGGTAAAGTCATTGCCAGGAAAAAATATTCTGATTTATTAAAGCATCTCCTGAAACAACTTTCCCCAATTCTGGATGTCCAGAAAGTAAAATAAACATGGATTTAAATAAAGGGTCAAATAACCAATAATCAAGATTCCCTACAGTACTGATTTATTTAACAGTACATGCGGGGGGGCGGGGTTGTCTTATTCAAAGTGGGAGACCCACCCCTTCAATCAAAGAAATGAATTTCTATTTAAAATTCCAGAAAGGTGAAAATATTGTTAAGTGAGACAGTAAGTGACTTTTCCAACAGTTTTACAAACTTCCTTCTCGTGGTTGTTAAGTGAATTACCACCGTTGTTAAATTGGTCACATGGGTTGTTAAGTGAATCTGGCTTCCCTGTTGACTTTGCATGTCAGATGGTCGCAAAAGGGGATCGCATGATCCCAGGACGCTGCAACCATCATAAGTATGAACCGGTTGCCAAGCATCTGAATTTCAATCGTGTGACCACGGGGGATGCTACAGTGGTCATAGGTGTGGAAAAAAAGTCGTAAGTCACAGTGGCAGAGTCAGCCAGCAATGCTGCATTCTAACCACTGCACCAGAGCTCTTGAGATAGATGGATGGATGGATGGATGGATGGATGGATGGAGAGATATGATAGATGAAAGTAATGCGATAGCACTTATATACCACTTCACGGTGCTTCTACAGCCACCTTTAAGCGGTTTACAGAGTCAGCCTCTTGCCCCCCAACAGTCTGGGTCCTCATTTTACCGACTTTGGAAGGACAGAAGGCTGAATCAACCTTGAGCTGGTCAGGATCAAACTGCTGGCAGTGGGCAGAATTAGCCTACAATACTATACTTTAACCACTGCGCCACCACAGATGATAGACAGACAGACAGACAGAAGCAATAGCATTTATATATCGCTTCACAGTGCTCCACAGCCCTCTCTAAGCGGTTTACAAAGTCAGCCTCTGGCCTCCAACAATCTGGGTCCTCATTTTACCGACCTTGGAAGGAC